CCCTCGCCGCGAGGCTGCTTCTTTCGGCAGACAAAAGCTCCCTTGAAGGCAGAGTCCCCAGCCACTTCAGGGCAAGGTGGGGCTGTCCGTGTCCCCTCGTCTTTAGGCAGTCTCTTTCGGGCGATGGAAGCTCCCCAAATGCAGTCACCAGCCACTTCAATCGGCTGGTAGAAGCGGCCTCGGGGCAAACGCACACACACACACTCCCCTTGCCACGTGGCTGCTTCTTTCGGCAGACGAAAGCTCCCTTGAAGGCAGAGTCCCCAGCCGCTTCGGGGGGAGGCGGGGCTGTCCATGTCCCCTCATCTTTAGGCAGTCTCTTTCAGGCGATGGAAGCTCCCCAAATGCAGTCACCAGCCACTTTGATCGGCCAGTAGAAGTGGCCTCAGGGCGAGCGCACACACACACTCCCCTCGCCGCGAGGCTGCTTTTACCGGCCGATCGAAGTGGCTGGTGACTGCATTTGGGAAGCTTCCATTGCCCGAAAGAGACTGCCTAAAGGCGAGGGGACATGGGCAGCCACGCCTTGCCCTGAAGCAGCTGGGGATTCTGCCTTCAAGGGAGCTTTTGTCTGCCGATAGAAGCAGCCTCATGGCTAGGGGAGTGTGTATATGTGTGTGTGTGTGTGTGTGTGCGCGCTCGCCCCGAGGCTGCTTCTACCGGCTGATCGAAGTGGCTGGTGACTGCATTTGGGGAGCTTCCATCGCCCGAAAGAGACTGCCTAAAGGTGAGGGGATATGGGCAGCCATACCATGCCCTGAAGCAGCTGGGGACTCTGCCTTCGGGAAGCTTTCGTCAGCCGATAGAAGTGGCCTCATGGCAAGGTATGTGCGTATGGGCCGCCCTAGGTGGTTTAACACGGTAGTTTATCCTATCTCAGTAATTGGTCAAGGCCAGATATTGCATACAATGTTAATCAATTCACGAGATTTAATGCTGAGCCAACTGAAAGGCACTGCTAAACGTGTGTTAAGATGTCTGAAACAAACAATGCATTATGCATTGTATTTGGAGTCTAAATATGAACTGAGTTTAACTGCATATGCTGATGCAAGTTTTGCTACAGACATAAATACACGAAAATCTACATCGGGTACTGTAGTATTATTTGGAAAAGCATTGATTGGATGTAGGTCTATTAGAAACATCTAAGTTTGTCAACAATGGAGGCTGAATTCTCATGCTTATCTTTATTATGTACAGATTTAGTTTTGTATCAGCAATTATTAATTGATATGGGAATTGATGTAAAAGATTCTATTGTTGTTTACGAAGATAACCAATCAGCAATACAGATGGCTTCAAATATTGCTGTTAAAACAAGAACGAAACACACAGATTTAAGATACTTAAATGTGAGACAATGTGTGCAAAGTAAGATGATTAAGCTAGAATACTGTATGTCAGAAAACAATATAGCAAATCATTTTCCAAAGGCCCAAGGCTCTATAAAGCATAAGGCTTGCTGTGAGGATTATGGACTTAGAATGTAAGGTTGTATGTCTTATCCAAAAGGGGAGAATGTTAGGAATATAAGTCACCTAACAGCTATTTGGGTTAGACAATATATAAACCAGGATAGACATTTTAATACTGTATCTTTAAGAAAATGCAAAACTGTAATTAGGTGTGGTTTCTCAAACGGCCATAAGATGGAGCCAGAAACCTGGATTGTTTAGTGTTAGTCTTAGTCTCAGAAGAGAGTGTGTCTGATTGAGTCTGTTTCCTTCTGTAAGTCTGATACTGAACTGTTTTTGATACTGGACTTTGTTATTGGATTATCCCTGGACTGAAAACTGACTGATTTAACCTGTGAATAACTTTGGACTGCTTATTTGAACTTTGCTTAAACATTTAGGGAAGTAAAAACCTACATTTACTGTACAGTGTATCTGTGTTCTGTGTGTGTATTATTCAAACACTTCTCTCAGATACGTCTCCCTGTATGCACTCATTCTCCTAACAGGGAATTACCTGAACAGTTGTCCAATAGGACTCTGAGATCCCTCTCACAGTTACTACTATTGAGCTATTTGGCCCTTGTTTTGCATATAAAGAAACATTTTAGTTACATAGCTGTAAACAAGAAGTAGGAATCCAGCTTTCTGTTTTCTCTGCTGCAATATGAAATAAATTTATATGGAACCTCATCCTTATAATACATTATTTATATGCAATGCAGGTGGTTCAGAATACAGATGTGATATTTTCCTATTAAGTATGTCTGCTGTGTGGGAATATTTCAAATTCTCCATTTTACTGCATGCTAGTCATGGATAAGTTGTAGAACTTCCAAGATTATGGAATGAATACACTATATTTTCCACAAAAAACCAAAACCCTATTTGGTAGAAGATTTCTCAACCGTTCTAAATAATGTGCACTATGACTAGGAAAAAGCAACACAATTTTCCCTTACCAAATGATACTTGCACTTACTCAGTGATATGCAAATGTACCTCAGCCTTCATCAGTGTAGCATCCACTAGAGAACTCTCAGAATAACCACTGAGAAAGTGGGTATGTATGTCTTGCAAAAGTTAAAAGCAATATATTGGTTTATATACTACTAAAACTTTGTGTTTATAACCTTCAATTAGACAAATAGGTGCATCACAGTGCAACAATTTTTGAACCAACACACCAGAAATGGGCTGGCTTAAAGAATGCATCCAAAACCCAGGACCCACTACTATCATGGGATTGAAATTTGGCAAAATTGTTGCTGCTTCATCACAGCTGCTTCTTCCAGCTACATTTCCCCCAAACCCATAGATACACAGTGTAAAGGAAGATGGGAGAGGTATATTCCTGCCCTCTTTTCTGACCCCATCTGGTTGCTGTGGAATTGGTTGGTGGTAAGGCCCAACAGGCAAGAGTGATTGACTGCTTTGGAATTGAGACCTAAATATGAAATAGCTTAACAGTGGTGGGCAATGAGGGAAAGACAAGGCAGTGACTTGGATGCCTGCTGGCAAGTTAGGGCTGACTGGGGATGCTATCAGTCAATAGGTGAGCCCTCTTTTTCCCTGGAGAGATTGGGAATGCAGTTATCCTCATAGTCCTCAGTCCTTTTGTTCTTCACCCCTCTCAGGAAAGGGGCAGGAAATTCCATAGGTTAACTAAGGAGGAAGAGGAATGATTTCTGACATTCTCTGCCAACTTCCCATAAACAACCTTAACCAGGAAGCCAGCAGGACGTCAGAAGTTACTGCCTTTCCCATTGCTCCCCCCCCCCACCCGTGGTCATTCAATTGATCTCTGAAAGAATGACCAATGGATCACGGTTTGTCTATTCATTTATATTCCCATGACTTCAAAAAGACATTGCACTCTTGTCCCTAAATAGTGTTGTTTCCAAAGATAGATCCAGGATTCAAATTTGATCCCTTGCAGTCTAAGATGCCGGGTAAGGATTTAGCAAAAACAGAAGGGAGCACTGTTCTGAGCACTTTACATTCTGAGGACCCAGATGAAGAAACAAGCTATATTTACACACAAAGAGCACATGACTCATTTTATCCGTTTTTCTGAGCTTTGTTAGGTTAAAGATTATGAACAACCCATATTACTGTTTAACAGCTGTGAGAGCTCAGTATTCCTTGCCTTTGCAATTTCAACTTTTATTGAGATTTATCACATTTCACTGTTGACTTCGTTGCAGATTACTCAGCTATTGCCTCACCCACATTTCAGCATGTTGGAAAAGCAATATTGTACCAACAGTTCAACTGTTAAAAGAGCATATTATGTGGGTTATATTATTGAAAAACAGACAAATGAAAACACAGATCTTTTCCTTACATACCAAGAAGGCAAAACACATGATCTCACTCAGATATAACTTTTACTCTGTTTTTAAAGGAAACTCACCGTTCGGGCACCCGTTAACTGCATAAGATAGTCTTGAATGTCATCCATATTCTTTTGACTTGTGAGATCAATAAATGCCAAGTGCCCAGGCTTGATATTAAGTTCTTTCAGAAGATCTAGCGCACTGTGACAGTAAGGGCAGCTCTTCTTTCCAAATACAACCACTTTATCAGATGCAATATGACTAGCTACAAATTGCTGGGCCATCCTAAAATTCTTAGTAATTCCCAGCTACAAGAGCCCAATTCTGAGGTTGAGAGGAATAAAAACAGAAAGCAAAAACTCAGCTGCACTACAGAAGTCAGGTTATATGAGTTTCAAGCCTCTTTCTTCCTTTTGGAGCCAACATCCTATAGGAGGAGTTACTTCTCTGTTTCTTATTGTTAAAGAGCTATGCACAATGATTGCTTAGTCTTTCAACTATTGCTTAGTAGAAATATGTAGGCACTTCCCACTCAGGATGTGAAATGATTCTGTCATTGAGTGTTAACAAATTGCACAACTAAGTATTGCTGGCTGTGTTTTGTTTGGATTTGCCTGCTTTACTGTTGTTAAGAGAGACTTATAGCAACCAAAAGTTGCTCATCAGGATGAAAGTTTGAAAGGGTGATGTAATTGCAGAAAACATGCATAGATGCATAGGGAATTTATTGGAAGGGTGGAATATCAGTTTGCCCAATAAATACAGTCAAATATATACCATGAAACCAGTAATCTCTGCCCCTTTACCTTAATGCATTTACATGTTTATTTTATCAACTGCAATATTTCTGGACATGTCAATAGAATTAAGAGCCACTTGATTGGAACCAACAACTGTCTTTCTAGAATGCCCACTTTTCTGAAGAGGTCTGGTACCATCTTTCCTAAGGATTTTTTTTGGAAAGGCATAAACTTTCACGAGTTGCATGTCTTTGAATAAAATCCATTGGCTGAGAAAAGAGCCACCAGTCTTTTTCTCATATATATTTTTTTGCTATTACAAACTAATACAGCTCTCCTACAACACACATTTTAATACTCAATGGAGCACATTGTAAAGTATGGCTGAGAAATTATGATGACCTGAGTCTACCTTAATATTTGAGGAAGGGAGTGGTGATTACAGTGGGCAGGGCACTAATGATAAAAGAACAGGGCTAACCAGGGTGATGTACTTTGAGGATAGAATTTTTGTTTTAATCTATGTGAAGGTTTACAGTGTACCAAGTCTAGGTCACGGGTGCATCACATAAGGTATCATGATGATTTTTTGTCTTTGCAGAGCTGGGGTGTGCGTGGCCTGCACATAACGCATCCGGTCCGCAGGTCGCCAGTTTGACACCACTAGTCTAGGTGAAGTTGCAGGTTTCACAATGGGAAGTTTTACCTATTACACCTGAGAAGTGCAGTCAGAGGAGTTGCAGAGGTATGAGGGGGAAAGTCCTTAAGGCTTTTACCAATCTCTATTTAAAACACATGCTCTGAGCAATCAATCACATACAGGGATGGGATTCTACCAGTTCGCACCTATTCGCTAGAACCGGTTGTTAACATTCTAAGCAGTTCAGAGAACCAGTTGTTAGAAGATATTACTGGCCTAATCCTGTAAGGAAGGCAGGAAGGAAACATTCTGGTGTTGCTTACAGAAACTGCCTCTCCGTTAACCCTTATTACATTCTTGGCAGGACTAGACTTCCTGTCTCAGGAACAGGAGTTTTTTCCCCCTCCTTTGCTGGTACTTTGCTTGTGTAAAGTGACCATTCAAAGTTACAATGGCACTGAAAAAAGTGACTTATGACTGTTTTTCACACTTACGACTGTTGCAGCATCCCCACAGTCATGAGAGGCCAGGGGAGGAGATGCGTGCCTTGATGTGAGTGATATTGAGTTGGCCACACCCAGCCAATAACATGACCACCAAGCCACGTCCACCCAGTCACATGACCACCAAGCCATGCCTACCAACTAAGCCACGACCACAGGACCGGTTGTTAAGAAATTTGAATCACATTGACTATACTGTAGTTCATCTGTTGAGTAAACATGATCTAGATTGCTAGATTATTTAAAGAACTCATCTTGTGAGATGTTGCTGTTTGATTCCTGGAAAGAAATATAGCCTATCTACCCATATGGATACAGATTTATGATATTTGTGTCATACAGTGGATTGTTTGACTACAGTTCCACAGTAACTGCTTTATTGGCACAAAATGCTGAACCATAAGCAATCAGTTACATTTAGCCTAGAATGTTGTGTATAGTTATGAATTGTGAAATTGTGCTTAGTTATGACTAAATATATTGTCTGACCTGGGGTACCATTTGGGGTAATGGAGGAAAAACACAATCAATTTAAAGTTATGCAAACACAATTGCACAAACATACATCGGCATTGAGTCTCTTCTACCGATCAAACAAATTACAACAGGTAACCCAAGTTAATTCAGGAGCAATACATGATCACAGGATTACTTCTAACACAAAAAACCAATAGGAAGAACATTATAATCTTAATTTTAAACAGGGGACTTATTATTTTTATTCCAGCCTTTGTATATTGCAAAATTCTAGAAATACTTGGCAATTCACAGCTAAAGAAACATGACAATAACAATTTCATAACCATAATAAAAATAAGAAAAAAGGCAAGTTAAAAGGCAATACCCCACAATATTGAAGTGAAATTGGAAATATTAGATTACTTTGAGAATAGTGACAGATCAAGATGTATGGTGTAATATCACCCATAAAACACATACCCCATCAATAAGCAATTTGGTAGCAGAGATAAAAATAGAGCTTAATAAATGAAATGCTATTTCATCATATCAGAATTGGTAGTAGAATCAACCTGCAATACATTTGTTTTTAAATTGAATATAGCTGATGTGAAACTTTTTGTGAGCAAAACTAGTAGCCTGATTTAGAAAATATATGCATCTATGACTATGACTAATTAGATTATAAATTAAAGAGGTTCTAATTTATTGCTCATCCACCCAAATGTACAATTGCAATTTACTACATTTGTAGGTGGCTACCTGTTTACCTGCTCCCTTTTGGGAAAATCCTGATTAGAAGAGAAACTATTGGGCTGTTACAATGAATTTGCTTCACATCTGGAAAATCAAATCTTTTGCATTCATTCAGAAGAAAATGCTAGCTAAATAATCAGCTAACTGCTACTGGAAATTTCTTTCCAGGATGATTTAAGTGTGAGAGGAAAAGGGATACTGTCCCTTGGTAGGCTAAGCTTATTTTGCATATTTGGCTGCTGGTCAGAAATTATTTAAGGCAAATGTCACGGTTTCAGTTTTCAGCGCTGGACATCCCCATTTTCCTTTTTGAGACTTTAGTTGTTCCTCTATCTCAAAATCAGAATCAAATGAGGCTGAGAACAATAGAAAATCTCTTGCTCCAACCTCCTGTTGGCAGCTGCAGAACTTGGCTTGTGGTAGACAGATATTTTCTACAGTGGAAATGATTTAGTATAGAATAGAATAACAGAGTTGGAAGGGACCTTGGAGGTCTTCTAGTCCAACCCCCTGCCTAGGCAGGAAACCCTACACCACTTCAGACAAATGGTTATCCAAGATCTTTTTAAAAACTTCCAGTGTTGGAGGATTCACAACTTCTGGAGGCAAGTTGCTCCACTGATTAATTGTTCTAACTATCAGGATATTTCTCCTTAGTTCTAAGTTACTTCTCTCCTTGATTAGTTTCCACCCATTGGTTCTTGTCCTGCCCTCAGGCGATTTGGAGCTTGACTCCAGTGGTGGGATTCAAACTTTTTTTACTACCGGTTCTGTGGGTGTGGCTTGGTGGGCATGGCAGGGGAAGGATATGGTAAAATCTCCAGTCAGAGGTGGTATTTGCTGGTTCTCTGAACTACTCAAAATTTCCGCTACTGGTTCTCCAGAACTGGTCAGAACCTGCTGAATACCACCTCTGCTTTAGTCCCTCTTCTTTGTGGCAGCCCCTGAGATATTGGAACACTGCTACCATACCTCCCCTAGTCCTTCTTTTCATTAGACTAGACATACCAAGTTCGTGCAAGTGTTCTTTGTATGTTTTAGCCTCCAGTCCCCTAATCATCTTTGTTGCTCTTCTCTGCACTCTTTCTAGAGTCTCAACATCTTTTTTACATTGTGGCGACCAAAATTGAATGAAGTATTTCAAGTGTGGCCTTACCAAGGCATTATAAAGTAGTATTAACACTTCATATGTTCTTGTTTCTATCCCTCTGTTTATGCAGCCTAGAACTGTGTTGGCTTTTTTGGCAGCTGCTGCACACTGCTGGCTCATATTTAAATGGTTGTCCATTAGGACTCTGAGATCCCTCTCACAGTTTCTACTATTGAGCAAGATACCACATGTACTGTACCTGTGCATTTGATTTTTCTTGCCTAAATGTAGAATCTTACTTTTTTCACCATTGAATTTCATTTTGTTAGATAGCGCCCAATGTTCAAGTCTGTCAAGATCCTTCTGTATCTTAAGCCTATCTTCTGGAGTGTTGGCTATTCCTGCCAGTTTAGTATCATCTGCAAATTTGATGAGTTTCCCATCTATCTCCTTGTCCAAGTCATTGATGAAGATGTTAAACAGCACTGGGCCTAAAAACAGAGCCTTGGAATACTCCACTGCATA